CCATGTGCTTTGGTAAGCTTGTTCTAAGTAGGTGCTTTAGACCACTGAGCCACCTCACCAGCCCCTTAAAATTTAACATATCAATACTTGATGAAAATACATATTCCATGTTATGCCTAAGATGTTTGATATTCAGACAGATAGTTAGGTTAAACCCAACTGCATATGTTGTAGGGTAATAATAAGCTTCTCTTCTGGAGAGTTAGCAACCTAAGTTTGTGATCCAAAAGTTAGAGGGAAAAAAGGGCTTCAAGAACAGCCAACATTTTGGCCCTAGGCTTTCAAGGTCAGTGAAGACACAAGACATAGGAAAACTTGTACTGTAACATCATGTAACTCAGTTGTATCCCAAATTTTCTGTATCCCAAGGAGATTATAGCGACACAGAGGAATGTGATCAATGATGTAGAGTTTATCCAAGGAGAGTTGCATGGAGAGAAAGCATTCTCTCATGCTTTCACAGAGAGCAAATTGGTTAGGCAATGGCCATGACTCATCCACATGGCTGACTCTGACAAAGGATATACAAACTGCGGTACAGGTTTTCAGGATAAATGCTGTGGAGACTTGACTGACCTTATCACATACAAAAGTTACATTTCTTGTTATATAGGTCTTCCTTTATCTTGGTCTTAATTATCCAGCAGAAAGGTATAAAAATGAGGAATTAAGGGTGAAGCCATTTTGGTATTCTGCAGTGTAAAGGGTTCAGGTCAACCACTTCTGACATTGCCAGTGGTGTGGATGTCCCACGACTAGTAGGGACTACTGGACTCTAATGGAATATTGGAATATTTTGGAATATTTTGCTGAATTCACACACCTACAATATTTACATGACAATGGAATATCCTTCTCTGACAAAACTAAACCGAAAAGGGGGATAGATACAAATGAATGACCATTTTGTATCTGTATATTCAAAATAGTTAGAATAGATATACAGCTACATTATCTTAATTCAATGAATAATATTTGTTCTAATATTGTTTGTGGTGGGGTGTCATGCCTGCATCTTGTGCAATGAATAACCACTGATACAACAATGTGCAATGTATTTATTATTGAAACTGTCCTACTTATTGGTTTTGAAATTGTCTCATTGCTACTTGTTTCTCAATAAAATTATTTAAAATAACTTTTGCTAGCTGTTCTTCAAAGAACTAATATCTACAATGTATATAATATCTAGAATTCCCAAATTCAAACACCCCATTCAAAAATGAGCATCTGTGATTAATAGATAATTCTCAGAAGATGTACAAGTAACAAATAAATATCTGAAAAAATATTCAACATCATTGACCATTCTAAAAATGCAAATTAAAACAATGCTTAGATTCTATTTCATTCCAGAAAGAATGGTTATTATCAAGAAAACAACCAATAACATATGCTGGTAGGGCTATTGGAAACAAACGAACACTTTTCCACTGTTGGTGGGAGTGTAAACTCATGCAGGCATAATGAAAATCAATGTGTGAGTTCCTCAAAAAAAAAAAAAAAAAAAAAAGCATAGGATTAAGGATTCCATTTGACTCAGCTATTTCCCATCTTGGAATCTTTCTGAAGGTATTAAAATCATCATGTAACAACAATATGCACATCCATGCTTCCTTACAGTAGTGCAATTTGTAATAGCTTAATCTTGGTAGCAACTCAAATGACTATAAACTGATGGATGGATATAAATTGTGATTTTTTTAATATAGTGGAATATTATCAGCCATAAAGAATTATAAAATTGAAACATTTACAACTAAATGGATGCACTTTGAGACTATAATCATAAGTAAATTAAATTAGATATATATGCAGAAATATCACATAATCCATCTAGTGTGAGAAACTGAAAGTATAAATAAGAAACAGAAGGTCTGGGAAAATGGCTCAGTGGAATAAGTGCTTCCAAGAAAAGTGCAATGGCCTGAGTTCAATTCCTGGTTCTGCCAAAAAGAGAGAGAGCGAGAGAGAGAGAGAGAGAGGAGGAGGAGGAGGAGGAGGAGGCCAAAGAGATATCTCAGTAGAGTAA